TCAGCGGGAGCAAGAGGAGCTGGAAAAGAAAAAGAATTAACATCGCAAAATAACAAATGTTCCCAGCAATTTGAAAATATGACAATGAATGCCAGAATATTTTTAATTAGTACATAACCTCAGTAGTCTCAAGGACAAAAACGACTGTCAGACTACAAACAGGTGAAATTTGGGGGTGTAGAGAGGCAAAAGCAAGGAGGAATTGGAAAATCATAACAGAAGACTCACCGGGAATCAACCAGTCAACGTCTACCATGTAGTTTGATAGAATAGCAACTAGAATATCCCCCTATCAGTGAGAAGAATTAAAATAAAATCAATGAGGAGTTCCATTAATTTCTGGTTAAAATACTTGTGCTGTGCAGCTCGAGCTGTCTTTTGTGCAAAATTATTAAATTTATCCAGTCATTGAAGTATAAAAGATTTCTTTTAAGCTCTGTAGGATTGCATGTTTATTATCGACCATAGTTGAAGAATGAAACATTCAATTAAGTGCTACCATGAAGGACAAAAACAGATGCTTCATAGTTCAAAATCACCATTCAACAGGGCAATGCAAGAACAAGTTAAAATCTGCAATAAAATTATCCCTACTAACCTGAATGACATCACCTATAGAAACACAAGAAGTATTCGCCCACGGTGGTAACCCTTGCACGCGCAAAAGTCGAAAAGTGGAAGGTATTTGGTCATTAGGGACATGGAAATTACGAATGGCCTCCACACTACTGTCTTCACCAGACTGTGAATGCACAAACTTCCTTGCTTCTGCATTCCTACCTTGTTTCTGGCATGTTTCAACTTTATCCTGCAGAGTTTACACCCAACGGAACAATTCACTTTACAAACAAAAAAACGAGAAAAATCATCTTAATGCACGCACATTCAGATGGCTATGACACGAACACAGATGTAAAATGTAGGATCATAACGTAAGCAGTTGAATACCCGTGAAGTCCTGCCTAAAGCTTTATTTCTGAAAGATGATTGAGGTTCATTGCTTCTACCACTCGAAGAGTTTACGTCACCCCCCAACACCTGATATTTAAATAGATGGTGACCGGGAATGAGCTCGATTACGTCACCATTACAAATGGAAGCTTATTCTTTATGATTCAGCTTCCTTCTCTTATTCCCGGAATTAACAACGATTGGGTTCGGCCCCTCCTAACATTAACAAAGCGAAAGGAAATCACGAATTGAAAAAAAAAAAAAAAAAAAAAAAAACAAGAGAGTGAAGAAGGTTCATACGACGAGCAAATTAGCGGAGCCATCGCGAGAAGCGGTTAAGGTGAGGTGCTTCCGGCTAAGCCTCTTGTCCGGAACAGGAATGTTGTTCCGCCCAACAACGTTTGCGCCGTCTGTGATAGCTAACTTCGGAACTAAACCTTCTTCCTCTAAACTTTGATTCACCGGAATCAGGTATCCCACCTCAGACAAAGACATTAATCTCTAATTAAATCAACGCCTCGCGACCAAACACACTCACAATCTTTCGCATCCCTCAAACACTTTCTTCTTTCTGCATTTCAAACTCTAAACACCAAACACAGCCGAACAACGTTACGCTGGACCTTCCTTCAAAAGCCCAAAGACTTCTGGACGGTCCATAGCCCATACTTCTCTTAAACGGATGGCTATTGTTTCCAGCGTACACACAATTACTAACTGCACTCCATAATTGAATCACGGTCCATGGCCCATACTTCGCTGCTGCTGCTGCAAAGCAAGAAGAAAAGTCAAAATGAAGAAAACTCATTCTTGAGAGCTATTTTCAACGTGTTTCAGAAAGGTCTTTCACAAATATATTTCATATAGAAATATTTCGAAAAATTAATTCTGAAAGATATTATATATATATTCCAAAAAGTTTATTTTCATTCTAAAAAAAATTATTTCAAATTACAGTTCATGTGCTCTAAAAATTTTATTTCAGAATCTCAATTCAAAAATCTTATTCTAAAAATTTTATTATAAAAAATTTCCGAATATTTAATTCGGAAGACACTTTTAAAAATGAAAAAAAATTAGGGGTGCAGCAAGTAAAAGCCTATATGGATTAAGCAACCCACTCATGGGTGTTCTCTGGGTGTTGCTCCCTCCACCACCCAAGGTACTCCCTGTACCTCCCCACTACTTTTTTTTATTCCAAAAACACCCTACACTTCCCCACTATCTTTAACATTGTTATCCTATACACCTCCCCTCCCCACTATTTTAGCAATCTCTTTCTTTCTCTCTCACCCTTAGTCTAAACTTTTATTTCTCATTCCAGTAACCATAACCTTACCTCTCCTTCTCCATCACCAACGGAACTACATCAAGCATCAAACCAACAGGTTCTCCCAAGCCCAAAACACGAGTATGACACTTGTTCACATACCAACGTCCCCAACCCATTTCTCCTTCCTTCATGCAACCCGTGACTACCCTGTTTACCCCCTGCTATCCTTCTAAATCTTCACCCAACCTTCATTATATCCCCAAGGGAACATCTCTGCTCTTCTCACCTCTTCCATGCTAGGAAGAGAAAACGAATTCGCCACAACAAAAATAACAAAGAGAATAATATAATACTACAACAGTTACGTAAGACATCTTCCTCAACCCATGAAAATAAATACAAGCTTACCTCAACGTCACACCTTTCATATAAAGGATTCACACATACTTAAGAAACTTATAACCCATGCCAAACACTGTTCAATAATATAACTGGTTTCTCCTTCGTGTCAAAGTACTCCCTTGGCACCTTTACTCAAATTTTTTCCGGTCATATCGGAACGATCGAGCTGACGCCCATCTCCGTCGAGAACTCCCTCATCGCGGGCTTCTCCTACGACATACCGGTAAAGTCCTCCAGATATATATCCATTTGTAGTAAGTTTCTATTAGTAATTATTTTGGCTAAGTGTAGCAGTCCCTGGGAACTTATGCCCCTGGAAATACTGCTCGTATCTATGGATCTGAAAAGAATGTTTTGCCTCATTGCTTATGCATAATTTTTAGAAGGACAAAAGATTTTGGTGGTGGAGTTTTCTCTCTTGCAGCTACTGTTATGAGTGACTTAATACAAAAGGATCCTACTTGTTATCCTGTTTTGGATGCAGATAATCTTCCATTTTCCTTCTTGGATGCTATAACGGATGATGTTCTCAACTCTTCAGCAGCCATTACTTGCATCCCCTAGTGTTTGGATGCCTTGTGCTTAAATAGTAATGGCATGCAGCTGTGAAAGATAGGAACTCTTTGAGGATGTGAAAGATAGTAATGCCTTGTGCTTAATCATTTTACATAATTTGTTCCACCGCTTATGTGGTAGCAGTTCCATCAACCTCTTCGTACATGTGGGGTTTCGACATAAGAAATCATAGCACTGCTCTAGCAAATTTTCATCACTGATGTTCATAGCAGTCAACATTTCATAAATGTCCGCCTCAATATATGTGTAATTGGGGGTGCGACGAAGAATCTCGGTTTGGGAACGTAGTATTTCATTTCTGTCCTCCATCGCTGATACTTGACGCAAGACGGCATCAGAAATTACACCAAAATGTACATTTGATGAGCTTAGGACATTTGCAAACCCATCCAGACTAGTCGTCAACTTATCAAATTAGGTATCAATAGAATCCACCATATGTGCCTTCCTTTTCGAGCCTCGTGAGGATGAAGTCCCACCTGATGGGACGGAAGGCACAGATTGAGTCTGTCCCGGACTATATTCATCGACAGATGGAGGAGGCGATGATGGAGTTGGGTCTCTGTACCCTGTTCACTGAGACTGTTCTGGAATGTACTCAATATTTTGATTCAAATCAACACTGACATGAGGACCAACACGTTGTCTTCGAGCTTGACGAGCAGTCCGAACACCACTCCCAGTAACTCGATCAGCTGCCCATAACTCAACCATTAAATCATAGTGTTTTATACTATTAACTCTCCACTTTGCCGTAGCTGGCCGCGACTGCAACAACAAAGACAATATACACACTGCTTCATATTATGTATAATAAGGATCCACATAAAAAATAAGTATTTTTATAAATACCTGAATCAGGTCAAGCCAGACTTTGTCCTCAGCATGAAATGTCATACTTACTGGATTCCACGCAAATCCACTCAATCCAGAAAACAAGTCATGCACCTCACGCCATTTATCCTTCAACACTTTCTGACGATTTTTGACATTATTTTTTGTAACTGCGACATACCCAGCGCTATGAAGATGATCAACTATGTTACTATATGCTTGGGTTGTCCAGCTTCCGTCAACCCTATTACCCATTCTTGATTCCTTGATCATGCAGTGTAGTAGACGTGTGTCCATGTCCTCTGTCCACTTCATGAACTCTCTAGTAGGACCAGAGGACGGAATGGCGGTTGCCTTACCCTATTCATTTTATACCTAATGAGTCAAGAAATATGTTTGAAGTTAACATAAAACATCCTTAATAATATGTTGTTCTCATACACATAAAAATAAATTAAAATACAATACAATAAAATACAATAACTACGATACTTGGTAATCACACCACATATGATCAGCTATACAATCCCTAATACTACTACCAATCCTATGATCCTCTTCTCTAACTTGAGATGATGAAACATCATGTTCTTCCCTTTCATTCAACTCGTTATCAACTTCATCGAGTAAGGAGTCATCGTTATCCACGCCCCGAAGGAAGTTGTGTAATATACAACAAGATAGTATGATATTAGTCATCGTCTCCAATCCATAGTGTGGTTCAGTGCAACTTACAATAATAGGGAATCTTTTTTTCAACACACCAAAAGTTCTTTCAATTACATTTCTCAACAACGAGTGTCGATGATTAAACAACTCAACGCGAGTACATATTGTTCCAGAGTATAGATATGTACAGGAATTCAATAATGGGGAGTTTTCCGTCAATAATTCCTGAAAATGCTCTTTTGAGGAAGCCTATTCCCAAGAATTACAATAGAAAATAGAATTGATGAGTTTCACGAGCAATGCAATTCCAAAGATTTTATGGGTGTTATGTAGCATATATAGTGAACTAGCTAGAAAGATATAAATTCTATTATGGTACATGTGCTGAAATAGAGTGATGGTAAGGCAAAATGAATTAATAACTGACTCTCCATCTAATCCTGTTTCCCTTACAAAAGGACACCGAATCAAAACCTGAAAGATACATGTGTATGATCAGACAAATAAGCATCATCAATTCTACAACTGGTACATGGGATAACAGAAAAAGAAAAAAATCTGGGTTTAGAGAATGGTTGCCTCAAATCAAACAGAACCAAGATAAAATAAAAGTCGCACCACGATCAGCTCTTTAGTCAGTCACGGTGCATGCGCGATAGATGGAACAATAACGAACATGCAAGCATAGGTTCAAAGACCACCTGCACCAACAGTGAATGATCAACAAGGTAACAATCAAAAGAAAAAACATTTTGCACAATTAAAATAAAAATAAATAAATAAATAATCTCTCTTGACATTAGCTGATACGAAAAAAAAAATGATTGAAGTTTCAAGCATGCAAACACACGGAGAGGAAAATAAACGACGGCTCGGACTTTCTACAATAATATCCATACCTGGATGACAACGAATGGACAAGAAAGGCAGACAATAGGTGCAACTCATCCCAGATTGGGGGCGCGACACAAGAGTGTTTAACAGAGTCCCACTACGCCTTCACGTTGACTACCAAAAGTAGATTTACTTAGGTAGCAGAACCTTTTAAAAAATAATAACTAAACAAAAGCATCACTAAACAAAATATCACCAGATNAATAACATACGTACAGGAAATAACGTGGCTTCTTAATTAAACAGATAACCTGATTCGGCAGAACCATCAACTTTTGAAGATATTCATCTCTCTTCTGAACATCAGTCTCCGCTTGAATCATGTAACCAACCTACAATATTTAATCAATTAAAAACATACACATGCAAATATAAGCATATCACCTAAGATTATCAATCAACTTAAGAGAAAAATGGATACCGATTCATAGAACGAGTGTATTTGATGGGGTTCAAGATCCACAATTGTATTTGGAAGAGTAGTAAGAAGTTCAAAAACAAAGGGCCCATTTTCTCCAACCTGACATAATAACTAACATTATTAATATTATTCTTATTATACAAGTAGAAACGTAATATACTTGCTTTTGGGAGGATGACTGTTACCTGGGTGATAACAAATTTACGCTTGCACTTCTGAACTATTTTCAAAAATGTATCGCAGGCCATATCCTAAAATAAGTTAAACATGAACAAAATTACGAAAAATGAATTCTGAATGGTAAAAATATTCTACATGTAAAAGAATGTTTTAATCATTGAAGAATGCACAGTATTTAAATTAAATTTTAGCACTCAAAATTGGAATAAACTACTTGTTCAAAAGAAAAATGAAATAAGTTAGACGTAGGTAAAAACACAAAGCAAGGCATATAAGGATCAGAATAATCAAATCACACATTGAGTTAAATGCACCACTAATATAATCAAGTCTTAAAAGAAAAAAGAGAATAAGAACTAAATTGGAATATTAAAACTAAAAAATCTAATACTGATTTTTTAAGAAAACTTATAATTTATTCTTGGATGTTTATATAGGTTTGCTGACTGTAGTGTTGAAAGTTTAAGATAGACTTTTAGGGGCATCATATTAAACTATTAAATATGTTTGTAATAGGGGTTTATGACTCTGCAGCAAATTCTGTTTTATTGTAATCTGTGTGATTTAATATTTCTCTTCTGCATTGTCCAAGATATCAATTGATGTATAAATTTCAATTTTAAGTTATCTAACATAAACAAAGCTCCTACCATAAGAAAGACAAGCACAGCCAGGGTTTATTCCAAACAAGTCATGCAAATATCATCAGAGATGACATACATCTAAATGTGACAGAAAATAAAAACACAAATCAAAACCTGAACTCCAGGATGTGTCTCATGCATAAACTCAAACAACTTATTAACAACAGTTTTAAGAAACTTCCAGTGAGCTCTTAAAAACCGTGGATACTGCCCCACAACATACCTGTCAGAAGAAGAAACTGCACATTATTCAACAAAGGAGATGCATCAATAAAAACAAATAGCAAACGAATACACAAAATCACTTACATGATATTACTAGCAATAACAGCTTTGTTATCCTTTCCTTTTGTGATTTCACATAGGTTTAGTAAATCACGAATGACCATAACCAAAAATCTGTTTTCCTGCCACAGAATCAAGATGTGAGTTTTAACTTATTTTTCTTGAAATAACACAACCAACAAAAGAATCCAAAAGAAAAAACAAAGATATTTGCTAGGATACATGTGTAATCTAGCCTATTGGGCCTGCGCATTGTAATGGTCAGAGTACCTGCGCAGGAGCCAATTCTCCTAGATTAGAAAATCTAGCCTAATCAGCTAGACACATACAGCTACTAGGACTCAGTTGAGTTTTAATTAGCTGTCACATCTGTTTGCAACTGTACTGAAAATATCAATATCTGTGATTTTCTAATTTCATATCAGAATAAAAACGATAATCTAGGAATTATTTCAGTCAAATTATTCACACCATGAATACAACTAACATTACTCGGTTGGAAAATTATGTTATACATACATCAATTAAAAATATAAAAAAAATAATACAACATTGAGGATAAAAATATATTTATAATTAGGATATATCAGTTTAGAGTCCATATTACAAAACCAAAATTGATGTTGATATGTACCAACAATTGGGCTTAAATGGCTCTAGTCCTGTTACCATGTTTGTCAAACTCAAACTAGAGTGAAGAAGTAGGACAAGTTGAACTCAATTGTAATTTCCTTGCCTCCAATGACCTTATTACAACAATGATTTACCATGACTCAAATGATTTGAAGAAATTAACTCCTTTTTCAAATGTTTTAACTTCAATAACTTGCTTTTTATGCATTTATAAAAAAATGGGTCATTATTGTAGTTTTATGTTAAATTAGTTTAGTAATTGTGATTTGCTATTTTACTACATTATTTGAATTATTGTTGAGTAAATAGTATCATGTTAAGCATATATGTTATCAATAAGTTTTTAAGTAATATTCTTTTTCGATTATGGTGGTAAACTCTGAAGAATTTCCATGCGAACTTCACTAGACAAATTTAGGGAAGCTACACAAGTTTATGTAAACGCTATAGGACTCGACTTGGGGCTCTGCCATGCATCTTTTCCAGCATTGCATTTCACCCAGAACCCTTTCTCCCAGTCCTACATCTCTGTTTCTTCTCTATGAAGAGCAGTTCTGGTCTCATTTTGTGTCTTATGTTCTTTTATATTGCCTAAAAAATTAATGAGTTGGATTCTTTGGTTTCTTTATCTTCTCTACTGGGTCTTCTATTATAATCTTTTGGTGTTATGATATATTCATTGTTATTTTCTCATGCTTACCATATTTATAAAATAAATATTTAAAATTGTAACTGAATTTATTAACAAATTATTACTTATTTATATATCATTATCTTACTAGGAATTAAAAAAATATTTTGGTAAGGACCATACGATCCCACAACTTTGAATCTTTCAATCTTCAGCCAATCTTAGTAGGATGACATTTTAACAACAGCAGAACAACGTATATTGGGTTGTTCACAATACCTGCTCTTCCATCATGGAACCAGATATAGATCCTATAGCCCAGCACAATGTGTTCAAATTGTTCCACGTCCAGTCCTCACCACTAAGTTGTTTACTTAACTTCCTCAACATCTGCAAATGACAATATAAAAGTTCACTACATCAAGTTCAGATCTTTGCCTAGGGACAAAAATGCATCAATTTTTCAATTACAAGTCAATATACGTAAATAACATTGATACAACGTTGATAAATCCTTGGGTTAATGAAGCACAGCCTTTTTTGCGCATGTACAATACCATCATCAAAGTTTAAATCTAACAACTCATGCAAACTGCCCAAACCCCTCAACAACTAGGGTGACCTTAATGGGTTTTAAAGTTGAACTTATTAATATTATCTTTGAACAAACACCAAATATAAATTGCATCCTAGTTTCTATCCGCGGATGAAAAAAAACGTTCATATTTGGAAAAAACAACGATCCACAAATTGTAATTCACATACCTGCTTTTCAGTATCATCATGGTCAAGATGTGACAAGTAAATAAGAGTCTCCCTCATAATCTGTATAATTGATTGAACTTTGACTAATCAGAATAGATGACAGAAACCTCTCAAATTTATTCTTTAATCATCCAAATAAAGTACAATATTCATTTGTTAACAGCTTCAAACACTTTCAGTATTATTACCTTGTATTGGACAAGAACAGCATTGTCCTTCATTGTTTCTCGCACTATATTCCCATTTTCATCTTCAACTATGAGAACCTCCTCTGGTTTCGCCATACGACAGATCATAAGCATTCTCAACTTTGACATGGGACCAGTATAAAGTTGCCGGCGCTGAAGAAGTTGTGAACCAATGCCATCAACCATACCAGGCACCTACTTGCCATTGAGAAAAATACAATCATGAACCATTCTTAGAATGATGAAAACAGTATATATAATGATCAAGAGAGGCATAAGGAAAATAATAAAATTTTAAAGTTGAACAAAAATACACATTTGAAAATGTTATAAATATTGCCATAATTGAAAACCATTTCAGACAATGTATACTAAAAAATAATGATTTTTAGGTTTAAACCAACTGATCCAAACTATATCTTGTAAATAAATATCTTAGATCTCATAACAGAGACTATAATAGGAATAACCTATGTTAGTGAACTGAAGAAAAAAAACACAAATAAACAATAACTGAAGAAGAGAAAGTACGGAGAAAAAATTTCCATATTTATTTATTACACCTAAGTTTACCAGATTTGATTTTATTAATTAGATTCCAATTACAGCATCGTACTTTATTAGCAAGAAAGAAGACATTTTATTCATTAGATTCCAATTAGATTTTATATTGATTTCTTGGGAAGATGGAATTCGCAAAAGGAATAGTACAAAAATAGAAATGGTTCTCTTAATTGCTTTAGAGTAGAGGAAATTGTTAAGACCAAGAAGAAAATTATGGGTAAAGGACAATACGAAATCAACTTTAAAAAAGAGATAAGTATAGAAACAAGGAATGGAAGATGCCAATGTTGTGAGCGATGTCCCAAACAAGTACCAAACAAAACAAACAATGTTACAGCTAACAATACCAATATCAATTAATGTTAACACAAAAAAGGTCAGGAACATATCTTAACAATGCCAGCTCTTGATTTTAACAATCAAGATCAAGGTGTGAGAAAAATAAAAGACAGCACCTGAAGTCCAATCATGCTTGCTGCTGTTGCTGCCGGGTTCTCCAAACCATGGTGTGGCTCAAACAACTCTGCAACCAAGACATTCCAGTAGTCCAGACAGACCTGATATTTTTTGGAAAACAAGTACACATAAAATTCTTGTACATTTCAGAACACTATGTTAGGACACTTCCAATGGTAAGGAGGAAAAGAGGTCAGAGGTCTATCATGAAAACTTGAGAACGAACAAAAGTTTGAGCAATCACAACATAAGCATTCAAAGGGAAGAGATAAATGTCATCATAATACCTTAAAAGCTTTCTGTTTAAATACTGTTTTATCACTGTTGATTTGATACATGAATTTCTGGTTTTTTTTGTTTTGTAGAGATCTGATGGGTAACCTTAGAAAGGTTAGATTATTCCTTTTTTTTAATTTATTTTATTTTGCTAATGGAATCCCGAAATATAATCATTAATTATTTGTTTTGTTATTATGGTTCATTTTACACAGAAAATATCCGGTGAAGCAAGGCTACATTTATCCGATACATCCAAAGGTATTTTCCAGGCACGGATCCTACCAGTGTTTTGGATACATTTAAATGGAATATTGAGACAGGTAAATTTTCTATAAATATTACTGTATCTTCTTGCACTATTAATATACTTTTCTATTTACTAATACTATGTTTATCATGTGCACAGATGACAAAAGGGAGAGTTCACTGGACTGTTCAAATCTTGAAGTACATGAACTTCTGAATTCTTTTTGGAAATCTCTGGAAATACAGTATGACATAATGAAAGAAAAGCTTGAAGACCAAAATAGCAAGTTAGAAAACTTAAATCATGCTTTAAAGGTCTATCATGATGCAGCAGAGAATGCTGATGCTGACCTTGACCTCTCCTCTACGGCTCATATGTTGAGAAGCAAAATACAACACGAGAAGTTCAAACTCGGGGTGTTAAGCAATATTGCAAATAATTTTGGTGATACATCTACCACGCTCTTAAAAGAGCATTTGAAATTAGTTGAACAAATAGCTTTCATAAAAAAACACATCTAATGACTTTGGTATTGAGCACATGATAGGAGTCATTATAATATAATGTTGTACCTTGCTAGTTATTTGATAATTAGGCAGGGTTTTAACACCTTGTCTTTTCTTAAGTTTCTACCAAGTGTTGATGTGTAATTGTTAGACATATAACTATTATTTTGAAAGTTTTAGCTGTTTGGTGGACCCTCATTAATGGTTTATGTTACTTCTACTTAAGATTGAAAAGAAATAATTCTTGAGGGCTTAATTGATCCCTTTCACAATCTTCTATTTATAAGAATAAATTGATACAAATACATGATAAATAGGGTAACACTAGACACAATATAATCATGATAAATAGGTAATCCTAGACACAATATAATCATGATAAATAGGGTAACCCTTGACACACTATAATGATGATAAAATAGGATAAATATCCTAACACTTCTCTAACATTCATAAAAGCATAAGTCTTTTTGGGTCTTATTATTTGAGCGAGGCCAATGCACATGGGCTTTCTTACCTTTTGTTAAACTTCAATTTTTTTACTTCATATATGGGGATGCAAAGAACGAACTCTTGACCACTTGGTAGTGTCATGTAGACTTCCAATATCGTATCATGAACCAATAATGGTTTATGTTACTTCTCTAACATGCACGTGCTTCATAAAATCATAAACCTTTTGGATCTTATTATTTGATCATGGCCAATGCCCTGGCTTTCTTACCTTTTGTTAAAATTCAATTTTTTACTTGAAGAATGGGGATGCGAGGAACGAATTCTTGACCACTTGGTAGTGTATTGTAGACCTCCAATATCGTATCATGAACCAATAATGGTTTATATTACTTCTCTAACGTGTACCTTCATAAAGGCATAAACCTTTGGGGTCTTATTATTTGTTGGTAGTGTATTGTAGACTTCCAATATTGTATCATGAACCACTTATTCCAAATGGCTCAACCTTACGGGCATGGTTATATATTACATATCTAACCATTAATATTTGTGTCATGGTTTGTAGCGTTTATTTAGTTTTCTCCTCGTGCTTTACATTTCTTCTAATTGCAGACAAATACAAGTGTTGCATCTTCTCTAGGAACATATTTCCTACCACAGATCACATTGATTTTTTTGGACATGTTGAATGTGTACCGGTATGTTCTGTTGACTGAAATGTTTTTATATTATTTTGACATGGATTTTTGTTTTATGCAACAAATATACAGATTAGATTCTTTTATCCTCCCATTAATAATGACTAAAATCTTTTTTACCTGCAACAAAATGTATAGTGAGCTTATATCGAAAAGTATTGCAGAGGGTGGACCTTTTGCATCTAGAACATCCTATGTTAAGCTTCTACGGTTGGTTTGGTTAATATAACATTGAATTTGTATTAATGGGGTTGCTGTTAACCTTGATACTGTTGTTATTGATGCAGTTCGGTTAAGAGAGAAACACTTAAACTGGTTGATACATTCTTGGACAAGGCTGAGGATCAACCACAAATTGCAAAACATTTTGTACCACCAATGATGGATCCTGTTCTTGGAGATTATGCTAGGAATGTGCCTGATGCAAGAGAATCAGAGGTCTTGTCACTTTTTGCCACGGTTGTAAACAAGTATGTCAATTCTTCTCTCTATTTGTTAATTAATTGAGCGTTAACACTCAGAACTCTACGTTTATATTCTTTTATTATCTAATAATGTCCACCCATGGCCAAAATAAGCTTGTAGAAAGAGAATAAGCTAAGATCGCTCATATTCTCTGCAGATATAAAGCTGCAATGGTTGAAGATGTCCCTCGCATATTTGAAGCTGTTTTCCAGTGCACACTGGAGGTAATTGTCTAGGTTATTTGTCTAGGTAACTGCATTGGACACTGCAATAGTTGATCATAATACCCTTACATTGACTTCCAGCATGGCCAACCCACCTTTATTTTCCCTAGTTGACATCGCTTAGAAGTTCTGGTTTTGATTCATTGTCTGTTATATTCTATCAATTGTGATGGTGTATAATTATTGGATATCTGCACCTAAATATCAACATTTGTAATTATTCTTTTATTCTGGAACACAGATGATTACAAAGAATTTTGAAGACTACCCAGAGCATCGGCTAAAGTTCTTCTCATTACTGCGTGCCATAGCTACTCACTGTTTCCCTGCTTTGATCTGCCTGTCCAGTCAGGTGATTTTACTTACCTAGCACTTTGCCTACGCTAAACAATTGTGTGGCAGTATATTTGGTTTCTGATGTTGTGTGTAATTTGTTTCAGCAACTGAAGCTTGTTATGGATTCAATAATATGGGCATTTCGGCATACAGAAAGGAATATCGCTGAGACTGGGCTAAACCTATTGTTTGAGATGCTGAAGAAATTTCAGGTGATCTTTGATTATTATTTAATCCATATCTCACTTCATTTACTAAGCTGTTAAACAATTTATTTATACTTAAAATACAGGTTTCTACAATAAGCAATTTTAAGAAAAATAACTTATTTTAGAAGATGAAGCACTGTTTCGTAGTGCTTATTTAAAAAAAAATTAAGTACCTGTTTAATAAAATAGGCAAACTCCTGCTTGTTTTAAGCTAAACAAACTGGCCCAAATTTCCTTAAGAAAACCTGAAAACTGCTCATTAAATAAACAAATTGGACCTAAAGAAGTAGAAACTTATTTTAATAAAGAAACAATTTTCTAATTGAGCACAAACAAACCGGTCTTTTATTTTCCTTAGTTTTTCTTGTTTGTTATTGTCTCACTTTCCTATTCTGGATGATTCTGATCCTCCCTCAAGTTTTCCGTTGTTTTTCTCTATAAGTTTATATTTAATGTCTGCTTGCATATATTAGTTGTTTGTATTTGTTACACCTTTAGTTGTTAGAGTCGTGTCACTTTCTGTACCGCCATTGTTACTTAGTATCACTCGCTGAGCGCCACCACCACCAGTCATCTAATCAGATTGTACCGTTAGCCTTTTTTATACAGTAACTACTGTTTTAAAAATTCCTAGTCCTTATTTATTTAATCCATTGATAGTCTAATATTTATTTTAACTGTATGAGATCTTAACTAAATATAAAAAAAAAATATTTGCTTTAATGTATTTGTTTTTCAAGGTAATCGTAGCAAGCAACAAAATAATCTTTTATGAATGATCGACAAAATATATTTTTTAACCGATTTCAGTTTATTGGGATAGGGTGATTTATATTAAATTAGATGTAAAACCATTTTAACATATCCCAATCAGATATCTTATTTTTAAATAATCTTATTTTTATTTAATGAACCCTTATATTAAATACATAAATACTTATTTTATGTATTTCTCATCATACACATCCAAATTCACATATTATATGGATATCTCTTTATATATATATATATAT